ACACACAAAAACATCTATATTCATATTGTTATGTAGTTCGGTATTTGTTTAGTAAGCAACCACCAGTCTATCTTATGTACACAACTTATTCACATATATTGGTTCATTTTGAATGTACACGTGTATATGCCAAAAAGTGTACACAAAATAACATGTGTACATTAAATAAGGTGTACACCAACATCGGAAATGTACCTTCACAGATCTCAAAAGATAGATCGAGTAATGGAGAAAACGATTTCATAAAAAAAAATCGAGAAAAGAAATTTAAGAATCATATGTGAATTTTCTAAGAAAATAGAGAATGAAAGGAAAGATGGGAGAAAGATGAGTGGTGGGAATAAGTCTTCGTTAGTACACTCTATGTAGTTAGTCAAGGAGTAAAGAGTGATTTACACTATAGTTAACAAAAACTACCTCAGTAGTCATAACTGCCTTATACTGATATTAAAAACTTAAAACTGCCTTACAATGTAATATTTTCATAATAAATGGATAGAAAGGTCCGGATAGGAGACAGACCTCATCCCACCTGCCCGCCTGCACAAACTTGACACACGCAACCAAGAGTCAGAAGAAACAGAATGCTAAGACGTACTGTGCCGCTGAGCATAGCTGCCAACAACCCCACCAAACATTGTGCTAACAACATGCCATATCCTTACACTTCAATAAACAAAACCTTAGACCCCTAAACTCTCGATTATTGTTTAAACCATATTCTTAATCTCAAATACTGGTTTTAGGATTCAACAATGTAGGGTTTTCCTACGAGCAGTAATGGGAGAGGTATATGTGTGTCATCACAGTAATGCATATCTTTACAAATAAGGTAATAGGAATATCCTTGGCTTTATATTCTTCCTTGGGCTTCTACTCATCTTTAGATTTCTTGTTATACTTCGCTTTCTTTAGTTATATGCATCAATCTTTGACAAAAACATAACAATATAAGAGGAAAACTGCAAAATTACCACTGCAAAATTTAAAGAATATCTAAAGAGTTCGGCTTTTTCAATATTCTTTCATTTCCATTTGGTTCATTTTTAATCTACTTCTGAGCTCTACACCAGCTACAGCCTATGATTAGCAAAGACGGTGAGATGGGGGGAATACGGCTGAACACATATTTTTTCAACCATTTTGTTCCCACTACGATATATATATATATTGAGTTGTTAGAATATACTCACATGTGTATCTATACCAATGCAATGTACATGTAACTGAAAATGGAATAACGTGACGGCGCTGAGCCGTTTACTTTAAACTCTATTTGCCATATACAAACGCCGTTGACTTTCAATATTCCACTTATATGCAAGTCAACCAAATAAGTTGAACCAAAACTCAATTCTTCTTCTCAAACAAGCATGTTCCATACAAAAGAAATAAGTGACCTCAAGTTATAAAAAAGCCAAGTGACCAACATTTCCTTGAATAATTGCTCTAATTAGTAAAATATGGCTAGTGGTATTAAGAAATCTGACATCCAAAATAGAATAAAAAGACAAGACAAAATATATAAATAGTCAATTTATTTTGAGATGCAATTCATGAACTTTCGACTAGGCTGATGTGAAAATCTCTATAATATTATTTGAGAAGTCAGTTTCCTACGTGTCGCGCTCACGTTAAATCTCGCGATGGTTGATTACATAGATACCCTTAATGAATTGTTAGATTTTAAGATTATTATTTTTTATTTAGTTTTTTTTTACCTCTTTCCAAATAACATATATAATAAAAATGAAATATTTCTAAAATTTTAAAACAAACTTAAAACGAAATATATGTATATAATATGACTTTATTAAAATGGAAAGTTCACAAAATAGTAATACCCCCATTAATATATATTTTTAAATAACATAAAATATATTTTCAAAATAATAAAAATATATATGTTCATGAACATCCAAAAATTTATCAATTTACACTTTATTTTCTAATATTTTTTTAGAAATCTACTTATAATTTGATAAATATTATGAAAATACATGTATATTTAAGCGATAAATAAAACTAATTTGATTTGACTTAACTGAAATAAAGAATACATTTTTCTTACATGTCGCGCTCACGTTAACTCTCGCGATTGTTGATTACATAGATATCCTTAATGAATTGTTATATTTTAAGATTATTATTTTTATTTAGTTTTTTTACCTCTTTCCAAATAACATATCTAATAAAATGAAATATTTCTAAAATTTTAAAACAAATTTAAAACGAAAATATATGTATATAATATGACTTTATTAAAAAGGAAAGTTCACAAAATAGTAATACCTCCATTAATATATATTTTTAAATAACATAAAATATATTTTCAAAATAATAAAAATATATATGTTCATGAACATCCAAAAAATTATCAGTTACACTTTATTTTATAATATTTTTTTAGAAATCAACATATACTTAGATAAATATTATGAAAGTACATGTATATTTAAGAGATAAATAAAAAAATTGATTTAACTTAACTAAAATAAAGAGTAATTTTTTTGAACACATATAAATAGTAAATAAATATTATGAAAATACATGTATATTTAAAAGATAAATAAAAATAATTTGATTTGACTTAACTAAAATAAAAAGTAATTATACTTCAATTTTATTTTAAAAGTATATTTAACTCAATATACTTACAAAATGAATGACTCGAGTGATCTAATTTATATCCAAAATTAAACATCTAACTACAATAAGAACATATAATTATATAATAATAATAATAATAATAATAATAATAATAATAATAATAATAATAATAATAATAATAATAATAATAATAATAATAATAATAATAATCTATTTTATACATATAAATTAGAGGTTGACTCAAAACCTATTAAAAAGAAAAAAACATATTAACCAATTACAATTTAATTCTTTTTAGAATTTATATATATGCATGAGACTTTAAAATATTATCATTATATTCATTTAAGTAATTTTGAATCAAACAACTTCAGCTTATTATTTATTTCATTTTAAGCACAATATATATTAAGTTATACATAATTTAACTATAATATATTTACATATCTAAGAATACATTTACATATCTAAAGAAAATAACCAACCAAAATAAAAATAAGAAAATTAATCAAAGTTTTATTATATTTAGAATAAAAACTATTATAGCTGAATTCAAAAAAATATATATTATTCAATATACCAAATTGATAACCAAACCGACTGTTGATCCAAAAAAAATAATTAAACCGACAATAATATATCCAAAGTCATATGTATAATTAGAATAATATAATATTTGTTAATATAAATTATACATATAAATTGATTCAAAACTAAAACTAAATATCAATCAATTATTATAAAAATTTACTTTTATGAATATTCATACCTGTGCATGAGCACGGGAAAATCAGCTAGTATATGTTAAGTTAGTATTTTATCTCGGTGAACACCAAAATAAGAGAAAACCGGAATATTTTTGATTTAAGTTTTTGCAAAATTTTCCATTCTTTGGAAAGAAAGTAAATCTTCCTTTAGGCCAAGAGATAAAACGTGCTATCGGCATTTTCAATAAGGGAGGCGTGGGTTTATATATATCATCTTCCTGAGCAAATTTGTAGAATGAAAAAAGTATTCGCCTTATGTACAAAACCGATTAATAATCGAGCAAACAAATAGACTGCAAAATTCCTTTTCAAGGGGAAAAGATATACAAATAAAATATGTAGTTCAAGTCTTTCCGACGTTTCTTATGACCTATTTCTATTTTCGTAAGGAGTAATTGACAATCTTAGCAGTGCAATTACAAACTTCTGATGGAACTCAGCAAAACATGACAGCATAAGTTTGCTCTCGATTGCATGAAATAAAATTTGCATCAACAAAGAAAAGAGAGGAAGAAAAATCCCGAGCTATTTATTATTTTAACCTTGCTTTACTACTTACTAGCAAAGCACCTTTAGAGATTTCTCCAATTTCCTGACTATTCTAGCTAGAATGAGACAAGAAAGATATTTTAATCGACCTATCCCTTGGAAGGTTGATGAGTTTCTCCATAGGATGGATGACGCATCATTATGACAGCCAAACCAGTTCTGTTACAGAGCCTTCGCAGGACAATAGGCTCGTGATGTGACACAAAAGTTTGCAGAAATCCATGGATCCCGGTTTTCCCAGCTCGCCCGGCTAGAGAATTAACCATACCATGGACACATAGATCCTGCAATGCTCGTTTATAACCTGATCCGTTGGGACACAAATGAGTGGGATATCACACAACTTCGTTAGTTATTCCAATTGAACTCAGCTAGATGAATCATACATACCATGGACATAGATCTTAAAATGCTCGTCTATTACCTGATCCGGAGGGACACAAATGAGAGGGATTTCTCACTACTTGGTCAGTTTTCCAATTCATCGATGTAACCCATATTTTTGTGTTGAGGCCTAGCCAGACTCTCATACTTGATGGTTACATATGAAACTATACCAAATTAAGTGTACATACAGTGAAGTCCAGTTACAAGTTGAGCATAAGTTTTGGTTCGAGAAAATGAAGAAAAAAGTAGAGATGCCCTCTTAAAGCGTGATTTAAGTTATTAATTATTGAACTTATTTTAAATTGCTAATACTAGATATCTATATGAATTTTGTTAACCCCATGTATATATGCTTTAAGCGTCAACGCGCCAAACCCAAAAGGCAAAATATATTTATTTTAATGAAAATTTTAATTAATTGGTCAAATAAAATGTGGTCATTTAAAGGGCAAAACATTTTTCCCAAGTTGCATAACATATGAAATGTGGTGAGTTAGTTGGTTTTAACACCCTACCTTATTCCTTTCTTGAAATCACAATTTTCTAAAAAAATCCAGAGCAGAACTGCTGTGCAAATATTATATGAGCTGGGTAATCTCAAAAAGTCAAGTCAAGGGCATACTTCATTTTATGCTATATATTACGACTGTGTGCATGTATCTAATTAAGTTAATAAGCTCGTTGATGATGGCTGTGCTTCTTCATCTCATCACGCTCTTCTCTCTCTTAGCCATACTTTCAATCGCGGAAAGTAAGTATGAGCATAAAACTTACTTCCCCAACATTAATAAATTACTAGCTTAAACCCATTTCATTTATTGTTTAACTGATCACTTATCGTTATCTGGGCCGGTCTGTTGTACCATCAGGTATAAACATCGACTGTGGATCAACTGGATCCTACGTAGACTCGAACAATGTAACATGGGTCGGAGATAAAGGCTTCGTCACGACCGGTGAGCCCATGAAGCTTCCAAACGTAGTTACGAAGCCGCTCAACACCCTCCGGTACTTCCCAACCGGCCAAACCAACTGCTACACCAACATTCCGGTGACAAAACGCCAGAAAACACTAGTGAGGACAAAGTTTTACTACGAGAACTACGATGGTAACTTTTCCCCGCCATCTTTCGACTTGGTGTATGATGGGAACCACCGCGATTCCGTTGAAATCACTGAGTCTTTGCTCAACAACGAGGAGACGTTCTACTACTCGGAGTTGATATTTTCTCCGGGGAATGAGAGTATTAGCGTATGCCTCCTTCGTACGTCTCCATCTGACAACCCTTTTATATCTTCCATTGAAGTTTATAGCTTAGACGTGGGAATGTACGCGGATCTTGGTCCCAATGAAGGTCTGATTACCAAACAAAGAACTGCTTGCGGTGCCAAAGAGAGTATAAGGTACATACAAACCTTACTTAACAAAAAAAAAATATTTGGGGTTTCATATATGACAAGGCAAAGGCCCGAAGCTTCTTTACAATACGATTTATTATTGTATCTAATTTTCGTTTTTTGAAAATTTATTTTAGTTACCCGTTAGATCCTTACGGTAGGCCATGGTACCCGTTAGGCGCCGATGATACACTGGCCGATCTAACGACCTCAGCCCCGTCGATAGATATCACAGGGGCGTCGAACAAGCCGCCAGAGGTTGTTATGTCGAAGGCATCATCATCGTTAGGAGAAAGCATAAAACTCTCTAACTTGGCGCTCCCCTTAACCGGTCTACCGGTATACTTGGCTCTTTACTTTTCGGAGCCTCAGACTCTAGGTCAGACCCAAAAACGGTCATTCAACGTTTTCTTGGATGAGACCCAAGTGGGTTCGGGTCCCATCATTCCGGTTTTTGGGAAAGCAACTCAAGTCGTTTTGAGAGATGTAGTGGCCACGTCAGGGTCCCAAATAGTATTTCAGTCCACTGGTAACTCCGGTTTGCCACCCATCATTAACGGTGTGGAGCTGTTTTCGATAAGTAACAGCCGGAATGGTGGAGGCGGAGGCGGAGGGGGAGGCGGAAGCCAAAGCAGCGGTGGGAATAATGGTTCTGGAGGTTAGTTTTTATTTTTAAGTGAAATATAGTATAATATTGAACAATCTAACCATAATCCCCCATCACCCGTTTTCATTCGCTAAATAACTCGTCGTTTTAATAAGTATAATACATGATTTAATTTTACTATATTTACACAACACATCTAACTAGACACCCTTCTATGATGGCTATAGGTGGGGCAAAAAACAATGGAGTAAAGAAGACGAAAAGCAAATTACCACTCATTCTTGGAATTACGCTCGCCTCTGCGTTTGCAATTCTCTCATCAACGTTTGGAGCTATTTTCTTGAGAAAGCGTCAAAATGCTAAGCCACAGTCCAATACCACACCAACTATTTCCACAGGTATGTCTATATAGTTGATGGCTAAGTGTTATATAAATTTTACTGGATTAAAAATTTAATACAGATGACAAGTAATCGTTACTGTCTGCATATTTCAAGGAAATGGGACAGGTACCGGAATGTCACCTCTAGTTGGAAAGCAATTTGCTAGTGATACAGACCACTCTTATGCTGTTCAAGATGATCATCACTGACATGGTTCCCAGTCGTCAACGAGCTACATCCATGTGTTATTATTCTAAATGTTTTTTTTTTAATTTTATGATATTTTTTCTTACAAAGGCTCTTCTCTGTAATTGTTATCCGACCAACAATTTTTATTAAACGCATTTTTTCCTCACATTATCTTTAAAGATGGACATTATCACTGATTTCACTAATCCAAGATGGTTTTCTAATATGTTCTATATACACACGGATATGGAACATGGGAGTTCCAAACCAGCTATATCATGATAGTAAAATTAATTGTTACATAGTACATATGGAAAGGAAGGAATTAGAAACTATTATATCATGATAGTAAAATTAATCATATTCCACGTCTGTGATTTCCTCTGCCCCTAAGCTTGTAGCTGCTACTCTGTTGCCTTTTTAGAAGGTTTTACATGCATATTGTAACGACCCACTTCTGAAGGTTTTAATTTTAAAATAAATGGATTATGAAAGATCTTCGGGGATATCTGTGAGGATTTAAACCTACTGTACTTTGTGCTATAGAACTTGGAATAAACTTGATGTCAAAAACTTATCTCTTATTCACTGTCAAAGGAATAATCTTTCCCAAGCAAAAAAAAAAAACAAAAAAAAAAGATCACAAGTAATAACCACAAGTAAAACCTATTTTAATTGCTAATCTCTCTTGGTCTCTCTTTATTTTTCCTACTAGATATGAACCCCTGCAAAAACATGGATTTTATTTGATGTTTTCCTTTTATGGGAAAAAGAGAAACATTAAAAAGTTTTTGAACATCTATTTTAGGTTTTGTATATGTTGGTGTTAATGTTATTAATGAATAATAACTTGGTTTGCGCTATTAATTTTGATTAATATTTATGTTTCAGTAATTATGATGCTTTAAAATACTATTAATAATTATTTCATTTATAATATTAGTTAATCATAATATTTATAAAATTAGTTAATTTATAGTTCAATTTAATTTTCTTTTCAAATTTAATTATAATATTAGTTGTAGGTAACTGAAATATATAAAAAGATATTGTTGTAAACCCTCCATACTTTTGTTTAAAAATTTAAAATAGCACAATTCCAAATACTTAATGTATATTAATCAATATTTTTGATAGTCAACTCAATATCAACTATGTTTTTGGAAAAACAACAAATTTATTTACCGTAGCATAAAATGTGTGTAGTTCATCTCTTTCTCGGTATATTATATATTAATGAAAAAATCTTCATATTTTTAGAACACTATTATCATTATGTTCTGTGATTGTTAAGAATTTGAACTGTAATTATGTACTGACTTTTAATAGTGTGACATACAATTTTCCATAAGAGAATATTAGATCTGGTAAAAATAAAATCTTTTTTGTTCAAACTTTAAGTGTTGTGCCAACACCGACATATACCATTTAGCCAAATATTTCCACCTTGGAGTGACTTCATATTTATTCTTAACAGTGCTTATAGAATGTTAATTTCATAAATATGAATGGTTGAATGTTGTTATAACACCTTGTTGATTCATTGCTTGTATATGATTGGCAGAGTTCATCGAAAAGCACCATTTACAAATATTTTTTGTTTGCCAAAGTTTTTTTATTGTGTCTAAATTTGCCATGGAAAGATACATCTCACAAATTCTTATCAAAAGCTTCAAACACAAAATGATGGTACATTAGATGTTTCCTTCAAAATAATGAAATTGGTTCTTTCAAATAATTCAGAAAGCATGTTACCATGATTATTGTCGCATTTATTGTTTTGATGAAAATCTATTGAAACCTTGCACGCTCATGTTTTGTTTACAGTTGTAAAACCAACATTTCTAACAACAAAATTAAAATAACGTTTTGGAGCAAAGGCATAGTTTAACTACGAACATCATTTTTCATAATTTTGATATATTCTCATACATATATAAATATTATTTAGTTATACATGTATATATATCTAAATATTATGAATATACAATATAAGTCGTTTACTGTACCTTTCAGTTGAATATTTTCTTTATAATTTGAAATCAATTTTTTCACGGGATAATTGAGAAAATTGTTGTCTAACAAATGATGTTCATTTAATAAGTTATATCTCAAGTTTGTGATCAAAGACTTTATAGTTTCTAATGCGAACTTGCATATTAAAGTTATAGATTTCGATAAGACTTCTTTCACGTAACTCATCATTAAAATTTTCTAAAAGTGACTGATATACACATTCTTAAATTGTATTTTCTTATATTTATAAAAAAATTAATTTTAATAATAAAAAGATATGATTTTTTTTGAAAAACAAAATATATTACTTTCTCGTCATGTGATATAAAATTCATTTCTATAAGTTTGTTCTTCATTTGCATTTTTTTTGCTCTTCACTTTCTAGTAAAGTGTACTACATTTAATAAAGATATTATTTAACTGAACATATGTTAAATAACTATATGAGTTCATTTTTACTTGATGATCCACAATAAATAATTAAGTTAGACAAAAAATACTAAATTGGAAAATTAGAAAATGAGGTAAAATTGACTTATGACACTTATAAACATGTGAACATAATATTGTAATAAAGTGATATTAAAATTAATTATATATTTTCTTACATGTACAAACACTTATTCATAATATTCATATCTAATCATTTACAATGACATCATCATAATTTTACAAAAGTTACAACATCATCATAAGATGTAGAAAGTATCATAATAATAAAATTAGGGGTGCTTAGCAAAACCAACCCACAAATTGAAGTCAATTGCAAAACCAACCTTTTTTTGTCATTACTATTTATCCATGAAATTTCCAAACCATCCTTATGTTTTTGAAATATTTACAGAATTTCCATTATTATTTGTTTTTTAATTATTTGAAAAATTACAAAAACTCAATTACACCCTAAACTTTTCTTCTTATTTTCAACAATGCCATCGTCATCAATTTTAAACCACCATGAACCACTATTTTTAAGCTTTCTAAACTTCTCAAACTCAATTTTCAACCACTTTTTCTCATTCTAAACCAATCAATTTTCACTTCCTCTCATTTCCTCTCTATTTTCATCTAAAAAACTCTCATAACTTTCATTTTCATAAGCATAACTTCATTATTTCGAGTGTACTCAGTTGTTGGTCGTCTAAGCTGCTTCTTTTTCTTCATATTTGGAGCTTGGACGGTGGAAAAGGGTGGAAACGAGCTTTACACCGGAAAAAGTACCTATTTACATGGTTTTCGTCATTTTTCAGATCTGTGTCGCGATAGTAGACTGTATCGTATGTCTACGCTTACGATGCAGTCTACTTGTCAGCGCACATGTTAGTTTTGCAATTGACCAGAATAATTGTTTATGCAAATTAGACTTCCCTGGAAGTCTACATCATTACCTTTGATAACAAAAACAAAAAATGAGGTAAACTTACAAAGAAGTCTACGTAAAAGAGGTTAGTTTTGCATTTGACAAAACTTTTGACTTTTCAATGTAGACTTCGTCGAAAGTCTACTCGTTGGAAATCTACAGATTGTAGACTTCCGGAGAAGTTTAGAAAAAAATATGTTTTGTATTTGACCCAAATTTGACTCCGCTGAATAGGTTAGTTTTGTATTTGACTAAAATGTTAGAAAGTTGACCAAAAAGAAAAAAAAATGTAGACTTTAACTACAGTACACTAATTTAAAAAAAAAATGATAGACATCACATGAAGTTTACTATTTTATTTTGGTCAAATGCAAAACTAACCCCCCCCCCCTCGTATTTGTGGGTAGACTTCGTATGAAGTCAACATGTATGTAGACATTTGTTTCCGTTTACTAATAAAAAGTCAAACTTGATCAATTGCAAAACTAACCTCTGTCAAAAAAATTCAAACATGTACACTGCTTCTAAAGTCTACTTTAGTAAGTCAAATCTTGGGTAATTTTTGGTCAATTGAAAAAAACAACATTTTTTATATGTAGACTGAAATGGGAGTCTACATGTATAAAATCACAATTTTTTTTCAAATATAAAAAGTAAACCGTAAAATTTTCAATTGCAAAAACTAACCTAAAGAGAAGAGTGCATATGGAGTTTACATGTGTAAACTGTAACGAACGTTTACAGTGACACATACTGCTTATGGAGTCTACGTTTGAAAATATATTAAAAGTGAATTTGCGTATTATTCATTAAGTTTTTTCAAGATTTGTTTTGTTTGACAATGTGTGTTAGGTAATCCTATTATTCATTATGTATTTACAAATGAATATTTTGTAAAGATAAATTATTACAAAGCAATTTTTTTCTAAAACTCTAGAGTGTTTGCTTATTCATAATCGTGATATCTCAAATAAAATCTTGGAAAAGAGTACCTGAAAAAATAAGATAAAATTATGAGTAAACATAAGGTAAACCTATTCAAATTATTTTTAGTAGACTTCATAAAAGTCTACTTAAAGTTTATGGGTTCAATATATTTTATTTAAAGTCTACTAGCCTTAATTTTTAAATAAACTTCATGCCAAAAATAATTTTAGATCTAAAAATGTACAATTACAAAATTAGAAAATAGCATTTTCCGCAAAATAATTCAAATAGTGTTTAACCTAAAATTAACAAAGAAAAAGCATAGAGCTTGTATCTATAAATTTAGTTTTATATAAACCAAAAAATAAAATTTTAAATGAATATATGTAAATCTTACATATCTTGGAAGGTGATTTGAAAACTTTGGAAGAGATACCTGCAAAATAAAATATAATAATGAAAAAAAAATAAAACAAAAAAATTAATATCATATTTGAGTAGACTTCTAATGAAGTCTGTTTAAAAGTTAAAATTAATAAACTTCATTTGTAGTCTACTCAATCCGAAAAATTTTAGATCTGAAAAATATATACATTACAAATATAAAATAACTTAAAATCTAAAAAGTATAGAACATAGAATCTGTATAATAATTAGTAGTAAATTATAGACATAGAGTTTGAATGTGTAACTTTATTTAAATATAAAAAGAAAAACACACATAATAAATGTAAATCTTACAATTTGTTTGTGGAAGAGAGAAAAACCATGGAAGAAAATACCTGAATAATAAAGATGAAACTATGAAAAACATAAGACAAACAATTAAAGTCATAACCTTG